TTTCATGAAAATCGGAGAGTGACACTTGGGTAGGTTTACTTGTAAGTTATTGTTCGCTACAAGTTTTCTTTTGCATTCTATTGTTGACGTTTCTAATGTTTACAACCTTTCGTCAACCATACGACTTTCTTCTACTTTTATTCGGGTTAGATCAGGCAAGCTGTGACAATGTCTATGTTCCGTACGACGGTACATCTGGGTGAGGATTTCGAAAGTTTATTTTCCGCTTTCCTCCGATCCCAACGACCCTTTGGCATTAACTCCCGGCCATTTCCTGATTGGGAGTTCTTTAACGGGCATTGCCGAGGATGATTTCAGCGATACACCATCCAATAGACTATCGCTGTGGCAGCACATCCAGAAAGTGAAACAAGACTTCTGGACGAGATGGTACAAGGAGTACATTAACCATCTGAACGTGCGCCATAAATGGACCAAGGGGACACATAGCATCCAGGAAGGCACAATCGTGGTTCTGAAGGAAAACCACCTTCCACCTATGGCCTGGCATCTCGCAAGGGTCGAGGAAATACATCCCGGGGCAGACGGAATCACCCGGGCAGTCACCGTCCGGACGAGCCATGGACGATACAAGCGGAACGTCAAAAACATGGCACCTCTTCCAATCGAGAGAGAGGATCTTCCATCATCACGGGAGCAGATGACGTCAGAAGATCAAGATCAGCCAACATCTTGATGAACATGGGTCCATCAACGGGGGGAGCATGTTCCGTACGACGGTACATCTGGGTGAGGATTTCGAAAGTTTATTTATGATCGGTCCGTTAGGCAGCCGTTTTTGAGTTAGAATATTTCGGGTTTTTTCTAGTTGTTAATTTTACTACATGTCTTGCCATAAATTTAGAGTTAATTTTCGCTTCATCCTCAACGGTCACTTTCCGATCATAAACACGGTTTTTTCCGAAGGGTACTTTAGGAACGGTCACGCACGGACCTAACGGGAACTTATGGTCGCCAAATGTACCTAGAAGAAAAAATCGCGGCATTGCCGGACGTTCGGGGTCCTCCCGCCAACTCACCGGATTCCCCACCCTTCCTAGACGAAGACGCTCTAAGGGAGCTATGAAGGGTGGGCCCAATCCCAAAGGACACGCTGATTGGAATTTCCTAAAAAAGGCGAAAAGCCAATCAGCGTACGACCTCTGACTCCATCGTCGACGTCGGAGTCAAGACGACAGCGAGTCGTCAGATTCATTCACTCAGTATTGAAAGAAACATTACAAACCTCCAACAGCCGGGAGAACTTGAACCATTGCTTGTAATATTTAGTATTAGAAGCAAATCGCGTTGCGGTATCTTTTAACTTCAAATTTTATCGCGACGTAGTAGCGGCACATTCGGCACGCTACAGTCTACTTATAGCAACCGCAAATATGTCGATATGATAAGAGTTTTAGTAGCTTGTCATGGAAGTGCAACAGCAGGAGCTGAATAATATAGGCAACAATTTCCAAATCGTCGCTATTCGGAGAGTGATATGCAAAGCAAAGCAAAGATTAATTGAGTGTGATTTTTTCTCAGTTACCATAAGTCTAGTGGCAGTAGAAGATCCCTAAATTTAAAAACAGAAATTCTTAATACCGTTGCTAATAATCCTAAGATAAATATACAAAAACTTAGAGCTCGTCATAATACCAGCACTATTGGTCGCAATAAATTGTATTAACATTTACATTTCTTATTTATAATACATATTTAAATTTAAAGCTGGTATAGTGCCAGCGCACTAGTTAGAATTCTTGAACTTGATTCTCTCGAAAATGAAGCGATAAACGAAACAATGTTATTCTTTTTTATCGACTTATTTTTACATATAGTATCATATCCTGCTGGGTTATATCATCCGCCGGCCACACCCTATATTATATTACTATAACATATTATTGACAAATCCTCCCACACCGAAAACATTGTTTTTGCGGATCCTTTTTGCATTACATAGATAATAAGTATAGTATGGGTTCTCTCCCACATGTACATTAGGGTGGCCCTTAGCTATAGAGCTTGATTTTTTTTTTTTATTTTTTCATCGTCTAAAATTATGACACTTGATGAAAAAGTGATAATGTCAAAGTTTCAGCATGATTGGATAACAGGAACCCGTGCCGCAATCGAGTTGAAGTTTTGAAATTTGCACGATTTCAGGTTATCGTCAAATATGTTAGTGGTCTTTTATTTTAAAAGTATCAGTGAATATTTTATAATGAAAATATAATTTTATACACGTGTAATACTATCATTTACATACAATTACAGCATATACATATTTACATACAATACTTTTGCACACAAACGTAGCTTTTAAGTTACCGGAGAATGCGACGGTTGGGCAAAACTGGGAGCTGTATATAATTTGTACAAAAGTTGATAAATTTTCCAATAATCTTGATTGTATTAGCACTTATAAACGAATTTTTTTTAAATACTTATAAACAAAATATTCTTTAATGGAATTTCAGTTATGTCTCATAAATTAGTCTATTATTAAATTGTACGTAGCGTTTATTATATGTTCTGTGTTAATGTAGATTTGCTTACATCAGAATAAAAGCATTTATATTTATAAAAGCATTTAAATTTCTTGGAATTTCCAAACCTTTTTGATATGAAATATCACTTTCCCACAAGGAAGGGTCCTTATCTAAGAAATCAGTAGGTATATCGAACCTGTTAAACCATTTTTTGGATTCAGTAGAAATGAAGCTATCGATATTCATGTTTGCATAATTTTGTACGTTTTCCGGAAGTATTACAAGTTTCTTTACTGAATGTTCTGTAGACTGAATGTTCTGTATTATTATTTCTTAGAGCCTTAATCATTTTCTTTTTTGTGTTTAATGGTATTGTTTCATCGAAAAAGGATAATGCCACGTTCTCGGATGCAAGGTACCATAAATGGCTAGAAAATTTGCGTATTCCGATTCTAGCAATATTCTTATCAATTGTAGAATACAGGTATAGATTTTGTAGGAATTTCAGATCTTGTAATGGCTTTTATGGGAATTGGTGCATTCATCCAGGCTTGAATGTATAAATTAGCTAAAAAAAATACATATATCACTTATCCCTATGATTTCGTTACTATCCAATAAAAATTCTTGTCGGAATAAATAAATTTTTAATACGTAAATTGCTTTAGCCATCCATTTAGCATGATGAAAAGCTCCAGGGACATGAAAAGTATTTCCTCGTGGAAGAGATCCACCAAGAAAAATTATTATCAACTTCAAAAATTCTTTTAATCATCTCTCGGCTGCTTTTGTCGTAAATGATACAAACAAAAATTTATTTTCTCTTCTACATCCTGGAGCTTTCCATAAACATACGAATCTTGTACGCCTGTTTTAAAATTTACTAAATTAATCTTAGGCCAAGCTTTTTGAAATTTTTTAAAAAGCGGTACTTCTTACCTGATCCCTTGATCAGGTAAAACTCGGTAATATTCGCCACTGCCGAGAATCTTTTTATATATCTACCATGCAGAGCACCTACTATACATTTTTTTAATACCGAAATATTTGTTTTATTTTACATAAGATCTCTAATGGCTAACTGAATAGGAGATTGGTTTTCGTATTCAAGATGACTGCTCCAGCAACTTCAGGCTAAGATTCATACTAACATTGGTGGTAACATTCATTAATTTTTAGTATATTTTTGAAAATCATACACCAACACTAAAATTATATATGTAAAAAATGATATTTTCATTATAAAATATTCACTGATACTTTTAAAATAAAAGACCACTAACATATTCGACGATAACCTGAAATCGTGCAAATTTCAAAACTTCAACTCGATTGCAACACGGGTTTCTGTTATCCAATCATGCTGAAACTTTGACATTATCATTTTTTCATCAAGTGTCACAATTTTAGGGGGTGAGACCAACAAAAATCGGATGTCGAAAAATAAAGGCCACCCTAATGTACATTCATGGGAAAATCATCTTCTAGAGCGAAGATTGCAGCTACAATAGCACCAAATAACCAACCTTCGAGCAATATTTCTTTGGATATGAAAAACAAATGAAATCATACATTCCATTTACATTTTTAAATTCTGGAATTTTAAATATTCAATTTGCTAAATTAGCAATGTTTTAAATACCCAAATCCTTAAATTTCTAAATTTCTAATCTCTTAAATTCCTCAATTCTGAAATTACTATCAATCTAAGTACCTAAACTTCCAAATAACGAAATTCCTACATTTCAAGATTTTCAAATTCAAAAATCTCCAAATTGTCAATCTCCTTACGTGAAATTGACTATTGTCAAAGAACAGACTCTAGAATAGATTCCCTCTAATCTTTACTTAAATTTTTCTGTGAGTGTCACCATTTGTTTTTGATCATAGACAGATTTCTTAACCCTTTCCGATAACTATACAGAACCCATACCCTATTGCAATGATCTTCATACAAATAATACAATGTTCACGTACAATCATTAAAAACAGAAATACTAGAAATTAATATATAATATATGTATAAGAAAATGGATAAATCCTACCTGGAATGCATTTTCCAACTTCCTCAACGAAGAAGTGTGCTCGTTTACATGCACAGTTCCCAGAAGCGTCACAAAATGCATCAAACTTTTCGCAATCCACATTTTCGGTGCAAGTCTGATTAATTCCTATAAAAAAAAAGGTGGTTACATTTTTTCGTTACCTGTCGTAGAACACTACGTAAGCATAATTCTACTAGTATTTTTAAACTGATAAAACTGAAAACCGCTAAAAGGCAGTTTAAATTAAATCTAGAGTAGATTTTAATGTCTGTAAGGAAGAAAAATTTTGATTTACAGTACTAAAAAATCTTACACTAAAATCGCAACTAAAAAATGCTATTTGTATAGTCTCGTAACTAGTGTTATTCCCTGAAAGCGATCATCATTCTGAACGAGATTTCCCTTTGAAAAATAGGGTTTGAATCTTCGTCTTTGAATTATTAAGGAAAAACACGGACCAATCAGAGTGCGAAGATTACACGTGCCCAAAAGCAAGAGCGATAGCTTCGAGCTTTGTAGCTAAGCGTGATCATGATCAAGTGCCTGTGCGCCGAGACAATACCTACCTGAACTTAGCACCCGACTTTCAAAAATTTTATTTCTTTCAATTGCATCGTATTTAGCATCGTTTGTACCCGTTTGTACCACCTTTGTTTTCGTTTGTACCCCAAGGGGTGAAAAGTTACTAGGGGGTGAAAAATACCCCAGCACCCCACTTTAACATTTTTTAATTCTTTCAAAGCCATCATAAAAAGGGACGTCCGTAGAGGTTTGTACCACCCTCACTTTCGTTTGTACCCCAAGGGGTGCGTTTATACCGCGTCTATTAACTTTTACTCTTACGACAAAGATGTTTTTAACATTTACGAACACCATACTGTATATCTACAATGTCGCAGTTAACACTATGGTATTTTTTGAACAGTGGATATAGACGAACCCTTTGAGGTACAAACGAAAGTAAAGGTGGTACAAACCTCTAGAGACGAATAGGAATCAGCACCCGCAAGAAGATTTGGAATATCTCAAAAAATGGCGAAGTTACCCCTTGGACGTACTTTCAAAACGCGGTATAAACGCACCCCTTGGGGTACAAACGAAAGTGAGGGTGGTACAAACCTCTACGGACGTCCCTTTTTATGATGGCTTTGAAAGAATTAAAAAATGTTAAAGTGGGGTGCTGGGGTATTTTTCACCCCCTAGTAACTTTTCACCCCTTGGGGTACAAACGAAAACAAAGGTGGTACAAACGGGTACAAACGATGCTAAATACGATGGAATTGAAAGAAATAAAATTTTTGAAAGTCGGGTGCCAGGTTCAGGTAGGTCGAGACAATCTAAACTTTAGAGGAAAATCTTGTTCAGTACGACGACCTCTACCACTCCTTTCAGTAACATGAGTAACACTAATTACAAGACACGCTGCATACTATACTTATATTAAAGATGCGCATGTTCAAGCATGTACAAAAAGTAATTCTTACATACCCATTTGATACGTGTAAGTGTGTTCAGGAGTGCTGTCCTTAGTCAAGGATTTTGACATACGAAGACTTTCTTCCGGAAGAGTACAAACATAATCATAACTACAATACGCAGTAGAATTAAATTTGCAATCATTATTTATGAAACATTTGTCGCCAACACCTGTAAGATCAAAACATAAAATTTTTAATAAAGTTTGTTAATAAAGTTCTTTCGTATTAATCTTTCAGATCTAATTATTTTTTAGCGTAACTAAAAGAATATCTTCAATTACTTGTATTAAAATCGATTAATAATGAATTTTAAATTAGAGACATCGTTGTAATTTACTGATGACACTTTATTAGTACTAAATATTCATTTACATGTATAATATATTGCAATAAGTTTTATTACGTATTTTTAAATGTAAAATATTATAACATTATAATTTAGTAATTTGGTAATCAAGTAAGTTAGTAACTTGGTAATCTGTTAAGTTAGTAACTAGGTAAGTTGGTAAATTAGTAACTTGATAATTTGGTATCTTGATAAAAATCTTGGTAATTGAGTAATTTGTTAATTTAGTAATTAGGCAACTCAGTAAATTTGGTAATTTCACAATTTCACAATTTGGTAATTTCATAATTTGGCAACTTGGTAACTTGGTATCTTAGTAATTTGTAACTTGGTAACTTGGTAACTTGGTAGCTTTGAAACTTAGTAACTTGGTAACTTGGTAACTTGGTAACTTGGTAATTTGGTAACTTGGTATCTTGGTAACTTGGTAACTTGGTAACTTGGTAACTTGGTAACTTGATAACTAGGTAACTTGGTGACTCGGTAGCTTGGTAGCTTGGTAAACTAACTTGGAAATTTTAAAAATTTAATAATCTGATACATTTGAAACTTAAAAATTCTGGAATTAATAAATTTGGAATATTAGAATTTTACGTAGTACAATACTTTACAAGTAACAAAAAATTCAAAAATTCCATCTTCATCTTTGTCTTACTTTGCTTAAACAGCATTTTCATCGATCCTGTTAAAAAATTTGCATGTTAGATAAAAAATGTTGAAAACGAGTGTAATTATATCACTGATTAAAAATTTATTTGTATGAACTTAATATAGAGAACGACATTCCCCTAATATACTTAACATATTTTCCCCTGTGCCTTTTAGTTTGCTTTATTATGTTCACCACACATTCATCGCGTAATCTATTCAGTTGCATAAACTAACGTTACACATTTCCAGTAATCAGGAAAGAAAATGAATACTCTACCTTTTGCTATTGGACGGCAACTTCTGTATTCACGTTGATAATATCCAGAACTGCATTTGCAAATTCCATTAACACAAGACACTGCCTCGAAGTCGCCGGTTACATGGCAATCAACGTCCTTGTGACATTTTCCAGATAATCCTATAGGAACACACTTCATGAAGGATCTATCACATCATTTAGATAACGTTGCTACATGCAAAATTTACCTGAATATGCATTACACCTTCCATGCATATAATAGTATCCTTCGACACATACGCAGGTCGAATTTATGCAAGCTCCACCATTGAATAAAAATCTCGAACATTGTATCGATTCTTCGCAAGCTTCGCCATACCCTGTAGCGACTGTTACACATTGTGGAAATAATATGATTATGTTAGTGATTAAGTGAAGTAGCAATAAATATAATTAGTAAACTGTTGAGTATAATTTTTTTTAACCCTTTACACTTGAAGGTACTTTTGCTGTTGATAGAAATTCTGAGATTTTTTAGTTAAAATGTTTGATGAATTCTTTTGTGGTTATTATTTCTTTATTGTTAATTGCTGTCATTGGATGTTTCATACGTTTTATACATTACATGATTTAGGTAACATTAAAAGTAAACTGGTCATTTGACCGGGTCATAAATTTTCTTTTTTAACTATTAACGGTTCACCAGAATAATATACCTAGCACACTGGGACGTTTAAGAATCCAGCCACTAAAAATACTGCTTATTATTTTAACTTGACTAAAATTACAAATAACCTCTGAAAGTTGTTTTAATATATTACATAAGATTATGTGGGATAAGTTCGTAAACGGGGTAAGTGCGTATATAGGCTATTCTTATTACAATATGAGTGAAATTTCCCTATTTAGTGTGTCTGTTTGCTTGTTTTGTTTCACTATATCTCCTCCTATATTTCAGCTAAGAGTATTTGTTTGCAGTATAGAGTACTTGCATAACGCAGTAAAAAGCATTTTATAGCAGATTTTTTAATAATTCTGCTCTTGAATTCCATTGCACATGAAATAATGTCTCAAAGAATTTTACTTCAAGTTACGCTCTTACCCCACTTTCGGGGAAAGTGCAGAGTAGTTGACATTTTAAACAATTTCCTGTCAAAAACCAAATTGTACAAGGAAAATTAAGGTCCTAGTTAATATTAATTAAATAATGGTAATTGTGCAAAGCGTTCGATACCGACAGCTAGTAAAGTATTTACATAGCAGACTGAAAATACTTACGTTTAAATATTATCTTTGCAAAAACCAGTCTGCATTTACCCCACTTCACCTTAGTTGATTTCGGTAAATTTAAAAGTTGAATATGAAAAACAGGTTTAGAAGCGAAAACATAAAAAAATGACCGTTTCCACAGAAAAACTCAAAACATTTTTTTATTTTAATATGAACAGATAAAATTTAAACTGAACACTCTTGAGATATAAAAGCTCGAGGTAGAAAATAGAAAAAATAGTGGACTTTCAAAAAAAGAGATTTATTCAGATTTCCAGGATGTAAAGTGGCTAAAATTGTAGCTGAATTGGTTTGGATCGGTTCATACGTTAAATTACAAGAGTTATTAAATTACTTTCGTTAAAAATTTTGGTTCCCATACAGATAAATAATTAATGTGTATATTAATTTATGTTTTATGTATAATTATTTTTAACACAACTAATAATAATAAGCAAATAACAGTAAACAAGAAAGTGATTTTTTGTTTTAAAATTTATGCAAAGAAATAATGCTATTATTGTAAAGTTTTAACATTTCGAAATCCTTGCAACTAAACTAGCGTTTTAAAAGATAAATTAAAGAATATTATTTTACACAATTTTGACGTAACAGATAATTGCAATTATAATAGATTAGAGGTGTTCTCGATAATTTTATTAACTACGATATATAACAATTGATTTGTTTTTAATAAAGTACAAATATTATCATAATATACGGAAATACTACACAGCAAAATGGTTAATTTCCGAAAAATATTCATGGTAATTTACCTTTAATGCATGATGTCATCTTTCCATTGTAAACATAACCAGTAGGACATTGACATGTGCCATTTTTACAACTGCTGGAAGCAACGGTACAATCAATGTCGGAACCACATGCCCAATAAACATCATCCATAAACGTCTTATCATTTGTAGTGCCTTCTATATTGCTTGTAGAACCTGAAACTGAAAAGTAACAATAGTTAAGATGCAGTTATGCATTACTATTGCCAAAGTATTCAACAATACATATTATTGGTTGTAGTACTATAAATAATAATATAGCTATAATGCTATAACTGAATTTGATTATTCAGTAAATTATTTAGGAATCATCTATATAATAAAATATTGTTTAGCTCTTACTTCGACTGTATTTTACAAAATTATTAATTATACTTAAGTATTAAATTACAAATTAAACTTCAGTTTTTGTGTCAACAAAAGCTATTAATAACAGTTTCATTCCAGCACTTTATAATTATATTTAAATATTCAATTGAAAATTGAAATATAGTTTTGGTGTCAACAAGATAGTATTACTAAAAATTTGATTACAATATTCTACTATTAATAAAAATTCATCATAGTTGTCACTATAATTAAAATATTTATTATTAGTCATGTAGCAAAGTATTAGTATAATTATATCAGAATACTCTTATTATAAACAATAATTTTACAGTTGTATTAATAATTACAATTTTGCAACAAAATTATATTACTACCATATACTTCACTAGGTAGATTTCATTATCCAGATAGTTTAAAATTAATGAATAGTAGAATCAGTTTATAGAAACAATAAATACAGTTAAATAAATGGTATTAGAATGTTTAATAATTATACTTATTATCGAATATGTATCAAAGTTAATCAAATGTCTTGATATTTGCAATGAAATATCTTTAATGTATAAAATATTGAAACCGCATTAAATTACATATATATTATATTTATATCGTGAAATACAATTATAATATTATCATAATATTTTGCTAGGCAGGTATTATTATTTAAGTAAATTAGAAAAAGCAAATATTGAAAGTTAGTAATAATAGTAGTAAAATACTATTATCAAATTGATATTAAAGTATTTATGTATAACCAGTACATTTAAACGTTCACATGTTAAATAAAATTAATTTTTCAAATAATGGAACCACATCAACTTATTTCTTTGCATATATTAAGATTTATAGCGAAAAGCACTAAAGAAATTAATTTTTACAATTCCGTCAGGAATACACAATATTTAACACATTTATTATTCACTTTCAAATTCACAGAAAACAAGTCACATTTTGCACATTTTAGATCACTTGTTTCAGTCCTTCTTGAAACGTTAAAATAACTATTTTAATTTTCCACTGTTAAAAAATTAGTTTAACAAAAGTAGGATTAAAGATCTATATCTAATGCAAATAAAATCTGTATCTAACATAATCAAAATTGGTCTAACAAAAGTACGAGTAAAAATTTATATACTGTAAATAATTTAATAGAATAAAATTAACTTTTTCTACAAGTTCAGAGAGATAAAAATTTGTTCGTGAAAAAGCTATAAAACAATAACTAGCGAAATATTTATTTTAAAACAACAAATACCGTATTATTTTTTAAAAATTGGACAATCCCTATACCATTTTACAAGTAAATTATTCGACAAGTAAAAAGTAAATTATATCGACCTTTGTACAAGCAGATTAAGAAACACTTTAATTCGATATATCATTCAATTATTATATAACTTAAATTATTATTTAAGTAAATATAAAATCGTACCTTGATATAAAAGACATTGCAAACAGAGTAATGCACCAAACACAATTTGTACACAGGTCATATTTGTTACACTAACTACTAATGAATACACGAATTTCTGACGTGACAATCATCCATGAGTTTTATCACACCGTTCATATCTGATAGAAATTGAACACCTGCATCGCTATCTCAATTATCTAAGAAAGAGAAAAAATGTCACAATTTAATTTACTATTCTGTTGAGCAGTTAAAAAAATCAAATTCCATATTGATTATTATTATTGAAATGCATACAAAAATTGTTGTGAGAATACATTTTGTGTAATTTACAATTAATATTGTAAATAATAATAATATATGAATTTATTTAACTATGTAAATTGTTTTACAATTTATAAATGATAATTTACAATAATTAATAGATTTGTGATATTACTTATATTACATGATTTTTTAAATTACTATCCATGTATGTATCGTGCTATAGGCACGTATAATAAATATCAATAATATGCACAATACGTAAAGTATCGATAAATAAACGCTGAAAAATCATGCAAACATTTAGATAACTTTATGGAAATCATATGAATGTTTGACAAAAATACATAGATGTATATTTTATCCTAAGTGTGTTTTAAGAATAAGTATTTTCAACCTGGAGTGATTTAATAGTTTGGAAAATTGAAAATTGGCAGATTCATAAATTTAGAATTTAAAAATATCAAATTTAAAGATTTGAGGATTTGAATATTTGAAAATTTTGGGATCTGAAGATTTGGAATCTCGGAGATTTAGAAATTTGAGTTCTTGAGAAATTTAAAATTTCCAAATTTGAAATTGAAAAATTTGAAAATGTGGAAATTTAGAAATTTAGAAATCTGAAGGTTTTAGAATCAGGAAACTTTGAAACTTGATAATTCGGAGATTAGGGAATTTGGAAATTTGGAAATTTGGAAACTTGGAAATGTGAAAATTTGGAAATCTGGGAACTTTGAAACTTGAATACCAGGAAATTTGGAAATTTGTATATTTAAAAATTTGAAGATTCGGTAATAAAAACAAATGAAAAATTTGAAATTAAAAACTTGAGAATCTCGAACCTGAATACTTGCAACCCTAGAAATTAAAAGATATGAAAGTTTCAAATAAGCTGTAAAAAGTACTGAACATTTCAAAAATTTCTAAATATAGAATTCAAGACATAACAAAGTTTCAAGTATAGAATGTTCTACATATTCCACACAATTCATTTCAGCCCTGCATACGGAGTAGGTCACCTGATGCTATCATTTTGATCAATATTATTATGTATAAAGAAAAATGAATTAATACTGCACAGGTGTTTAAGGTGTTAAAACAAAAATTTTTCATGTGAAACCTTTTCAGCAATTTACCGAATCGACGTTTTAAATAGAAACACATGTACATATATTTTCTTTATATAATGCAAGTATACTACCTTCTTTTTCTATATGTATAGTTTATATGTACTACGCTAAATCGATCACTTTTTGACGTCGCTGTCAGAGATTAGATCTCGAACGAAATATGATGTATTGTGCGTGCAATTAGGAGGAGGATTTAAGGCATCGTTTTTCTTAAAATATACACGTCATCATATTTTACAACCTTTGGTTGTTTTCATGAAAGTAGGTTATACCTTAATACAGGAGATTTAATAAGTTCCAGCGCTAAACGAAACGTTGTTGAACGAGGTCATCTTTTGTATGTAAAAAATTACGAAACAATCTAAGGTGTGCCATGACATGATTTACTGTATAAGTCAGTAATGATTAAATTTACAAAGGGCATCACCCAATTGATACACGCCGATATTTATGAAATTTTTTTTTTAATTGAATGCTTGAGGTCACATGCACCTTCTTAGGTTGTTAGTGACCACATTTAATTTGGGACTGTGTCGTAAACCTATTGGTATTACATTTGATAATAGTGTTACGTACGGGAAGCGCACGTATAAAGCCTCGAAGGTTTGTTTGCCCTAACAAAATTAATTGTTAACGGGACTTAATGTTTTTGTGGATCCGGAGACACGCTAGTCCCATACGGGCCCTTTCACAAGATCGCAATGTTTAGAGGAAATGACGGAGGCAATTAAAGAAATGTAATTCAAACTAATTAAAATATTCAAAAGATTATATTTTATAAAATATGAAGCAATTAGAATGGTAGCGTATATAATATAATGTGAATTACAATGAACTGAACAAAAATATTGTAAATATCTGAGACGCGCTATTCAAAGGTTTGAAGGAGAAGCAATTACTCAAATACAAAATAAAATTATAATTCAGTGAGGGAAATCCCAAAGTTAAATAATTAACTACTGATTTACTTGCCGAAAAATTCATAAAATAGCTGGAAGAATAAAGGAAACAACTCACTGAAATATCTGTACTTGAATGAATTTAAAATTAACAACTCCCTTTGCGAAATGTGAAATGACGCCTGCGCCTGGTTCCTGGGAAGAACACACACACATGTAAGGACTCAACCGATGAGAATTTTGAAACTGACCAATTGCTGAATTCAAATAAAATAAAATAAAATTATACATTAAAAATTAAAAAGAATAAAATTGAATATAATTCGATGGAAAAATAAAATAATATATTGAATTAAAATTTAACGTGATTATTAACGCGAAAGCTTTATGTGAAGATAGAGTCTTTGTCTGAATTTTGCACTTTAACAAAATCAAGAACAAACTCGTCTCTAAACCACTTCACGGACTCTCAACACGCACCTCGCGATTATACACCGAAGAGTGTCGCAACTTGCACCTCTCGGAGAAGACCAGAGTGGGCCTAGTCCGAAATTGTTTATGTTGCATTGATATGCGCCTAACGAATTTGGCTGCGAGGCCAATGCGTAAGAGACCGTGATTCGTTAATTAGGTGGTGATGGTGGGTGCATGTGTGTCCTCCCTTGTCCAGCTCTTATCTCTCTCTCTCTTCCTATATAGTTCTTTTCCTTTACTCTTGTTTTCCTTTACTCTTGAGCTATCCTATATAGTTCTTTTCCTTTACTCTTGAGCTATGGACTATTGATTAACTATTAAATAATTTTTACATGCATAACCAATACAGTATAAAATGTTAATCTGCACACATTATAAAAATTTAGAATGAAACATTATCTATTTCGTTTTACAATTATTAAAGTTAAATTGCGCTCGGTACTGTAACTATTGTAGGACTGATTGACGTATGTGTATTTATCGTAACGGTATAATGAAATACTATGGGCAATTTATATAATATTGTAATGTTACAAAGACAATTTCTATTACAATTCTATATTGCGTTGCGGGCCCTTGAGGAACATTCCAGAACGCTTGGCGTTATCGGACCACACGAGTGTGACTTCCGTTTATATTTGGCGGTTTGGAGAAGTAAAATGATCTAAGATTTTGGCCGTGGCACCATGTTGATTTCAAGGAAGAAATGTGTTATATTAACAATCTTAGTTTAGTCGCCAGAAGATAGTCTATCTAATAACATAACAAGACCGTTACTGCGATCGATCAGGGTGTTCCCAGAATGCAATAGGCATTATCGATACACATCCGGTCGGTGAGAACTACAAAGGAAATTTTGAAAAATATTCCTGTTCGGAACGTAACAATAGAGACCAATATTTATAAAAAATGTTAGAATTTTCCTGCACAAATTTACATTTTGTAGCATGCTTGTTACATTTGATATGTTATATTGCACCCTTTTAATGCAATATTTAGGACACTGAATTAGGATGTGGTCAATGGAAATTTGTGCATTACACGCACCACAGATCGTTGGGTTTGATTTAATAATAAGAAATAAATATGTTCATTTGACGTGACCAGTTCTTAATCTAATTAGTATTACTTGATCTTTTCTACTCATAAAGATTGCCGAGCTAATATCGTATATATTATTACGAATTTTATGTAAAGCTGATGTAAAGTTAAACATCCACTTAGACCATATTATTGGCCTTCTAAAACAGAAAAATTTGCACTTTAAATTTTTTGTCTAGGCCTAATAGTTCCCGCGATATTTGCGAAAACAGTTTTTTTAACCCCAACTTTAAGGGTTATTTTCACCACTTCCGAGTGGATATTTGCCGATAAAAAAGATACGTGTAAAATATTTTTTCGAATATATCATATAAAAATTTCATCAAAATCGACGTGTATCAATTGGGTGATGTCCCTTGTTAGTACTAAAACTGATAACAACACAACGTGGTATAGTTAAAACGTGGTGTTAACTACGGAGCCAAAGAGGAAATATTTAAAAATAATATTTGGATTAACAAAAGCGCAAAAACATCACCGAAAAAAGATATCATAAATAATTTGTTTAAGGATCAATTTTGCTGTTGGAAAGGTAATACAAGTTTACAGTAATTTGAACAATTGTTATTACATAAATGGTAGTATACACATCGACCATAAACTTGAAAGATGGTACAAGGGAGCCATTTCGATTACTACACGTGCAATGATCTTATTGAGAAATTTTTATTGAGAATAAAATACATTTTATTAAGCAATAAGAGAAATGTTTCAAACCGAAGTCAGTAGTTTCGATATTGACATCATCTGACGTACCTTACAATATCATCTCTCACACGTGACGCACAAACTTCAAATTTCTATTTCCCTCAAATTTCTATCAAATTTCCATCAATTTTATATGTTCTCATATTCCTTAACCCTTATATTTCTAATACTTTAAGTTTGTAGATTACCGTACTCCCAGATCTTCTAATTCTATATTCGAAAATCCTAAGTACCCCAACTATCTAGGTCTTCATATTCGTAGATCTCCATATCTCAAAATTCCTATATCTGCAAATATGTATGTCCTTATAATTCTATACGAACCTCAAATCTCAAAGTTCTTGTTCTTTTGTATTTTCATATCACAAGGTTCCCATATTTTTAAATCCCCAAATTCCTAGTATCTCAAATTTCAAAATACTCAAACTGCATGGTCTCCAAATTCCTATGCCCTCAAATGGTTACTCCATTTCCAAATTTTCGGATCCCTTAAATTTCCGGAAAGAAATAAATGAATGAGTAAAATTCCTCTTTTCCTTGATTACTATATTTTTTCGACAAAAACCAGATTCGTAACTATATTATCGTTTAAAACATCATTAGTTATTTTCGAATCACTCAAGACGAATTGGTTTTAAATATTTTATTTCTTTCAGCTTACAAGTTTCGAATACAGTTATTTTATTTTAGTATAATTATTACGAACGAGTATAACACTGGCAAAGAGCCTGTAGATTATTGATTCTGAATTTTCGGAGAGCCCCAGTTTTATACGGTAGTTTTGACTGCAGAAATGGAAATAGGAATATTTCTGGAAACGAAATTTTAGGATTGATTGGGTAAATGCACCGGATGCATTAGTATCTGGAAAATAGGATCAGAGGCGCTGCAGATGAGCCTCACTATACCAGATTGCGTAAAAACAGAATTCGGATTTATAAATACAGTAACCATTCTATATAAGAAAGAATGTCTCTTACAATACAAGCACAAATGTCGGTTATGATATAAGCAAAAATGTTCCTTACGGTATAAGGAAAAATGTTATCCCCATCACAAGGGGAGCCCCCTGGATTTGGGTAATATAAGCAAAAATTCAAACCCGAGAGATTTGCGTCTATCGACTGATTACAGTATTAGTAAATCTGCGTTTATATATTTGTACGTAGAGGGAAAAGTAATCTTCTTTAAGAGAGACTAACAATAAGGGTCGATAAGGATAAGTGCAAGCAGTTGGTGAAGGAATGGTCGATATACACATGTTAACACACGAGTTGACGCACGAGAAGGCTGACCCAGGTGTTTAGAAGAGCTATAGCTCCAATTAGTCAGAATAGATAAATGGACGCCTAAACTCACATGTATTTTCAACGGTAGAAACAATTAGCTCGAGCAGTCACACACGAATTAGACCGAAAACAATGAGAGTAAACGTTTCTAGAATGAGTGAGATATTGCGAAATAGTGATGTAGTTCTTGTTGTCATTATTCTTATTTGCTGAAATTTAACGCTGGAAGTGTTAATGGTGGGGATAGATCTTCTTTTACTTTGGGTCAACTATAGGCTAACTCACAGGGATACGATGTCCTTCGCACATTGCATTGGTGTGAGAGAGACGAGTTGATTTTCGTAAATTCGACTTTAACGCTCGAATATTGCGAAAATGAAATTTTTACGAGTACAGCACCCATCGGTGGATTTCACTACAGGGTGCTCTGGTCGCTTTAGACAGATTTATTCTTAACTCGGCCCTGCCGAACAGGGCTGCGGATCAGCTTCCTCACCCAATCGGGCATACGTAAAATAAACTTCCTACTATGTACCTCCTAGTCTCTTGAAGTTTACTGCCACTACGAATCCAACTCCAAATGATGTCAGCACCAGGCCGGCGACAGTCCTGGTGGAGCCACTGTACCTCCCATAGCACCCATGTTATCAAAGTTATCCTTGAAACGTTTGATGGGTTTCCGTCGGGGACCTTTCGGTTACCCCTACAACACATTATACCCTTACAACACATTGGTCGCTTTAGACAGCAATAAATACTTTATACTGAATAAAGCCGAATTTTCGAAAGTGCATGAGTGAGACAGACGCTGATGTAAACAAGCAAGATGGCCGTCGTATGCTTACGCATACAGGAGTGGTATAAACGCATCCTTGTTCGAAGCAAGTTGTAAGACAGAGTTTCGTTCACCGCATATCTTCTATCTCTTCCCTCTCTCTCAGACCTCCATTCGGCTCGCAGTTCACACTTCAGTTACGATATAGCTCAGTGATACTGAACTTTGAATCAGTAGTGAGTCAAATAAACAGCAGGAGATATACTGCTTAAATGTGCAATAGTAGGGAAACAAGTAGTATTATTATCTGACGATAACATCTTCATTGTTTGCACTCATCAGCCTACTAACCTCTTATCCGGGTGTTCAGATAAAGACAGTAGACTAATTTTCTCTGCTATGATAGTTAATCTACCAGACACTATTCATGTAAATCCGGTTTTGATACTACAGGAAAGACGAGCTACGTAAATGCGTGTTCTTTTGATTGTAATGTAAATGCATCTTTCTCCACGATCGTATATGTACAGTGACCACAAAAAGTCCCGAGAATTGCAAAATAAAGTGACTTTTTTAAAACTGGACCGAAGGATTTGGAGATTAAATTTGTTATTTTTGACAACTTGATCGAAACCGTGAACAATTTTTACGTCATTTTTATTTGAATGTGTTGTCAAAGTTTAAAAACTTTTGTACATTTAAAAAGGTAACATGCTGAAAATTTCATGAGGGATCAGTTACAGCAACAGGTATCAAAATGTGCAAAATATTTAGACCTGTTGCCGTTGTGGAGAATCTTGATTTTAACTCAACATTTTAAACTAAAAATTTGAATTAAATTAAAAATTGAAATTAAACTAAAAATGGAATAAAAGTATAAATAAACAAACGATGAATTTCTTTATTTCGATAAAGACCAATATAGATTTCAAGAACATCTTCAATATTGTAATTTAAATATAAAAACTTGAAAATGCATTTGTTAGTGTTGAGGATACGTTAGCCTATTTTATACAGCACCTTTCTCATAAACGGTATCTTTCAAAAATTTATATTCCGATTCCATAGTAGATTTAAAATCGCTTATTTTACTCACGATACCAAACACTTGCATTTTTTGTGAAACAACGAAAACATGTTATATAAAATCCTTCAAACTTCCTTCAAAATAGAAGTCAAAACCGGTTAGTCCAATCTCAAAAAATTGATTTTTGTCTAAGAAAGTTATTTGATTTTAAAAAAGTTATTGGGTTATTTGATATCACTGACTAAGTAAATACTTTTGGCAGTTACTGTTTCACTCACGCACAGCGTTGCCATACGCACGGAAAATGATCGCGGGCAGAATTTTAGTGACGCAGTAATTGCATGGTGTTCGCAAATCGCATATATGTATAGCTTCACATGACGTCATCTTTTCCCCTGCATGGGGAAATTCTACTGGCGACTCTGCTCACGCATTTCAGACGTTCAGCGGCAAGGTCACATCTATAAAACGCGGAACGAAAACCTCTTGCCCCACCACCGTTTCATATAGAGCCAGCTTTCTAACTTTGCACAGTATACAGTTGAACGTTCACCATGAAGGAACAATCGGGCATTAATAACGGTTAGTTTTTCATCGCATTGAATTTTTTATGCAAAAAAATACGTATATCATCTTTCCTTTTCTTGTGGACCTTGTTTTGTGAATCTATAGATCAAATTCGGTTTAGAGAGTCATACAGTAATTTTTGAAGGTTAAAGAAATGTGAAGTGATCTTGGGGGCCTCATGCGGGAAAATCGTGAAACTCCGAATAAGTTATGGTGCTCTTCGTCTTTCACGTATTGCTCTGTTAAGGAGAGACAAGGATAGCAAGCATGATGCGTAGAAATGCAATTTCGTTATTTATAGAGTTTAAGATGAAGAAGCAGTGCTTAGGCATTGTTTTTTTTCCACATTTCCGTTGAACTAATGGCGAGTAGAAATAAATAAGGTTATAAATAGTGAAAAGACAACCTTCTGATTATCTCTATTGACAAAATATATCAAAATTTATTTCGTATAAGAATAATGAATTATTGTAAGAAGTTTTAGAAATATTATAGTAAATGCAAACTCTCTTTTTTTTGAACGAAAGCAGTATTTTAGAAAATGGCACTTACTTTCTTTATTTCCACTCTTCAGTTATTAGAGTGATAGCAGAATTCGAAAAGTAGTTTTAACTTATTGAATATCTTGTACTTATTGAATAATTTTAACTTATTGAATAATTTAAACAGTTTACTGTATTACAAATATCATATCCGCTTTTCGCGAAAATTAAATATTTTTAAATCCGATTTTTAGTGGATTACGTTTTATTAATTTATAATATTTCTTCATTTCAAGATTTTTGAGCAATAAAATGTTACTTGCGTGTCAACATGATTGCTGTTCTCATGAGGAAAAACGGGTTTGCCCATCTTTATCTGAAGTTTCTTACTTTTCCTGTTGACTCATAACTGTACAGTTAGATATAGCAAAATCTTAACCCTTTGCGGACGATAGGCGACTCTCAGTCGCCACGGCTTTTCGTGCGGCAGGACGAGTGGCGAGTGACAGTCGACAGTCGGTGTATGTTTATGTTCCCTCTATCTCCAATCGACTGGGTCGCACTATTGCTTCTTAAAGAGGTTGCTGAACTGCTTAGGTTCTTATATAGGATGTGTAAAATGATACGTCGTAACAGAGATAAAATAATGAAGGGCCTTCCAAATTGTGTAGCCTTAACAACAGTATATAGGAAACAGTAATTCTTACGGGAACAAAGAAGGACTGTAAAGTTTGTTCAACCCGTAACAAACCAGGTGGTAGACATGAGACGACGTATTATTGTGATACGTGCCCAGATAAACCACGGATGCATCTTGGTGAATGCTATACAGCGTATCACACAAAACGACATTATAGACCGTAATTCTTGTAAAGATAGATAAGCTCTTGTAAAGATAGTTAGTTTCTTGTATAGATAAACATGTAAATATAGATAAACAATCCAAATATAACGTTTTTAAAAGGTAATGTATATGTAAGATCATTTTATTGCATCATGTAAGTCACGCAACGCATTTGCGAAAATCGCTTCGTCCTACTACCTTACCCGGCCGAAAAAGTCGTCGTCCGCAAAGGGTTAAATTGACTTTAATGCAATGGTTACCTTGCGACGCACTCATGACGCACTACTTTGTTAAATTCACTTTAATGCAGTGGTTATATTGTGACGCACTCATGACGCACTATTTTGTTAAATTGATTTTAGGGCAGTAGCTGTCTTATGACGCAGTCGTGACGCATTGCAGCTGTGATCAATTTCAGTCGAATTTTTAATAAGATTCAATGGGTTCAAGTCCAATTTGCATAGTCGATTGCATATGAAGTTGAAACATTTCAACTTCGTCGTTTTTAATATTGTAGTCCCTAATTCCTATTTATAGACACCTAAGTCATAGAGTAAGGGTGTTGAACGAGAGTATTTCAAATTTGGGTTCATGTTCTGAGAAGTTAAAGGTCATGGCAGAATTAAATGGAACCGATGCGTATATCGACTGGATCGATTTTCAAGGCTGTCATCCGATGAGACGTTTTCCAGAGAATCGAACACGAACGACGCAACGTTGCTTTTTTCTCACCGATACACCAGCCAGTTGCGACGAAGTGTTTGTTTAACAAAAGTCTAGACTGCGGTAACGCGAAAATACCGGCTGGTGTTTTGATAAGAGGCCTTAGGAAGTTACATATTTTCTATACATAAGGTTCTTCTATAACTCTATAATGTTTTAAAACTGATATTTAATTTCTTTTGTAGTTGAAAAATTAGTAAAATTAACTTTGTTAACTTTCATAATTCTTGTTTGCACCAATCATAAATGTTCATAATATGCAAAACAACTATAATAGATTAATTTCAGAAAAGACAAAATTTGTCTAAATACGTAGACTATAAACATTTTATACGCAAACAAATTCAAAAGTTGATGTGACGTTAAATTTTCATGGATTATTTATTCATGATAGAAATTGTGTATCGCAAATTGCTTGCAACCCTTTATTGCATGGTTTCTCCATTTAAAAATGAAGTTCTTATAAATAGTAATGATATAGATGAATAAATATTTTCTGTTCAAAATACTTCCGAATATTTCCCATTTAAAATATTTAAATTTTCTAAAATTTTACAATATTTTAAATAGATGCAGATAAGAACTATAAATACAAAAAACAAGAGATATTTTCAATACTTCCATTTATTAAACAAATTACAATTCGTTTACATTTGACCAAACAAAAATTTTATCGCATTATTTCATGTAGCAATACGATGCAAGGAAACATTAATAATCTCATAATAACATGAAAATAATATATTTAGAAAAATAATAAATCAAACATCCTCTTGTGGCCTTGAAAATCATAGTGAATCTCTGGATGTATTCCGCCTTCTGACGAGACCTTTGTTAATTGTACTACACGCCGGGTATAATAACGAGGAAGATAATTACATACAAAGTGCAATCCAACTCATTGTCAGATGACATTAAAATCAAATTATATTTCAAGAATAAGAAAAACGTTTCATTATACTATACATGTCACAACAAAGTGATTAAAGAAGGTTTCACTGAAATTCAACAAGACATAATACATAATCAAATACACCAAAAAATTTTATGTATACTTATCAATTATTCCAGTTTAGTAATATCTATTTCGAGACGCTGTCTGTTCTTAGAAAAGGCAGAATATTCTGTCCAGAACACCTGTATACTAGAAATAGGACTGCCAATTATTGACATTTTATTGGCAGTGAATGATACAGTGGGACCTCTATATTCCATAAATATACATATATAGTATGCATTATATTAGGAGTACCGAAAAGTAATCAAAATTTCGTTTGCTTTCAAAAAACATTTATTTATCAAAGAAATCTTAAATGCTAATTAATAAAATATTTTCTAACGCTTCTTGTCAGCGTAAAGGCAATTGTTCGATTCCTGTTTTAAAAAAGTCCTTCAATTTTTCCGAACAGGAATCTTTTTCAAAATTTCCTTTGTAGTTTTGATCGACCGGATGTGTATCGATAATGCGTATTGCATTCTGGGAACACCCTGATCGAACGCAGTAACGGTCTTTCAATGTTTATTAGATAGACTATCTTTTGGCGACTAAACTATGATTGTTAATATAACACATTCCTTCCTTGAAATCAACGTGGTCCCACGGCCAAAATCTTAGATCATTTCACTTCTCCGAACCGCCGAATATAAACGGAAGTCACACTCGTGTGGTCCGATAACGCCAAGCGTTTTAGAATGTTCCTCAAGGGCCCACGACGCAATATAAAATTGTAATAGAAATTCTTTGCAACACTACAAAATTATATAAATTACTCATAGTATTTCTTTATACCGTTATTATGAATACGCACACGTCAATCAGTTCCACAATAGTTACAGTACCGAGCGCGATTTAACTTTAATAATTGTAAAACGAAATAGATA